AGCAACAAAAATGAGCACCATGCACTGAGCTTTTCAAAACCGTCAAGACTGGCAAATTAAGACACAGAAGAGCTTCTGTACAAAGGAGAGTCTGGATTCCACATCCACTCATCTTCCTGATGTTCTTGATGATGGGGGCTACATAAGTACACTTCCGGCAGTATTCTTCAAATAAAGCAGGTCCCCTCCTGCATTTGTATAACTTAACGACCTTAATGTTAGAACAGATTTCTTAGGTAAGACCAGAGTGGAGAATGTGTACAGGTCCTGGCTATTTCTAACTGCTAGACAGAATTGCCTACATGCAGACATGATGTGCTAATCCAAATTAAATCCTTTGAGCTATAACTAAGCTGTTAAGCAACATGAAATGACATTAGTGGCTGATGAACTTACACCTCCTTATGTAACAGGTTAAATCAGTCAGCCACTGCACTTCCACAATCTGCTTTACCGCATGCTGTGGGTGCTGGCTGCAGTGTGAATCTGCCCTCCTGTGTGTGGGGCCAGTGAGTGCGCTTTGGTGGCAGGAAGATATATGTATCCAGACGGAGGTGGTGGCAAAGTATTACTTGATGTTCAGTGCTTTGCCTTGTCTAATCAACTGACTCAACCTGAAATTTTAATTGAGCTTTAATGTATTATTGTAAAGTTTTTTTTTTCCTTTTAAAAAACACCGCCTGGTGAAGCACCTTCTCCCCAGCAAAATACTCCTTAGAGTCCCTGGTGTACGTGATTAAACTGTTACATACGAACCCGAATCTCCCTGCTATAGCCCTGTCAGAAAAGAGCCCCTGACACAGCTGTGTGTTGTGAATAAACCAAATGTGAAGGGGCTCTGATCTTCGTGTTAGCACACGCGGCCTTTTTAAAGAGGAGTCTGTGCTTCTGTCAGAAGGCGATTGAAAATGTTTCCCAGTTGCCGGCAGGATTATTTTGCTGAACTGTGGGAGGCATTTTTTCTTCCTGTTTTGATCCCTTGAGTTTTCTTGGATTTTGCAGATCATAAGCACGCCTCAGCGAGTACCTAACTCAGGGAGCATCCTCATCGGGAGTCCGTTCCCCCACACGCCCGCAATGGTCACGCAGAGCCGGCTGCCGGACTCGACGGAATGGGCTTCAGGGTGAGTGGCTCTGCTGTCTTCCCTCCCACAGCCCTCACAGCGGACCGCACGACTCTACAAATCCTCCCTAGGAGCATTCGTTCCTTAAATAAGCCGAGTTACTGTACGCGCCTTTACTCTTTGCGCTCCTTGGGCGTGCTAAAAGGGCCACTCCCCTGTGATTGATAGTGAGAATCATTATTTGATGCAAACAAAAGGATGAAGCTTATTTAGACTGGGAACATTCGCAGAGACATCACCTGTTCTTGTGGAGCAACAGAAAACAGTCCTTTTTTGAGCTCTGCTCATTCTTCAGCCACCCCTCCCCCCCCCAACCCCCCAAAGCCAGCCAGCCAGCTCCCTGCTTTCATGGAGGCATCTTGTCACTCCAGGAAATGCCCTTTGACAACCCCTTTTCACCAGCCAGGTCAGGGCCGTTCTTCGGGTCATTGTCAATCCCCATCTCTGAATTGGCTTCATTACTCTGCTCTCCTCCCCACTGATAGCTGGTGTGTGGTGAGTGTTCTGGCGCACTATGGCTGCCGTCGCATTATCCAGGTGGGGCTGCACATTGGTGGTGGAGGGGAGTCCCCATTACCTGTAAAGCGCTTTGAGTGGAGTGTCCAGAAAAAGCGCTATTTAAGTGTAAGCAATTATTATTATTATTATTATTATTATTGTGGATGGAGCAGATGAAACTGCAGTGCAAGACGAGGGTTGCGTTGTGGATGCTCGTGTGAGAATTTGCAATTCGTGTGATCTCAGATCAGAAAACAAGCGCTGTTATTCTCGACTGAAATGTACAGTTTACCTACTGCCACGGAAATGGCCAGCCTTAACCACACCTCGCATAATGCAAAGTACTGAAAAAGAATTTTCCGGCTGTCCGAGACTCTCCAGGTGAGCTGTTAGGTGCTCATCTGTGTAAGTGATCATGCAGTGTAGTTACTAAAATCTAAAAACAATCATCTGTGGATACGTAGTGAATGTTTTATGCTCGTTGAAATCGGCGACCCCTTCTTTGTGGTCAAAGTGCCCCAGTACAAGTAAATTTAGAAGTTATTTATACTGTGTATACATAGGTCTGGGAGGAGGCAGTCTGAATTAAAGAGATTTAAAAAAATGTGGATGACATGCCCTAGAAGCATTAAGGAGATCTACAGGAAGAAAAGGACAGCTGCTACTGTCAGCAGGAAAAGAGAAAGAATGGGTTTCTTACTGTACCTGCAGTCAGCAAAAGCTATGTGTTGTAACTTGAAAACTTCAGGTACGTCAAGGAGCATATCACTCTAGAGCTTGTGCCCTGCAATTAGGGGAAGAATCCTGCTGTGGCACATGTAAGCAGAAAAGATTTTCCACGGTATGTCACCGGACATTAAAATCTCGTTAATCCTAAACAGGGCTGATGTTTCTGTATTTTGCTCTCAGTATTTTTCTGTTAAAAATTCTGAACTTTTAGTTGACCTCATTCTGTTTTCTAACTCATGCACAAGTAGGTATGCTGAGATTGAATTTAATAAAACATCAGTCTTTGAATTCACAGCCATTTGCTTATTTGTGAATAAAGAAGCGTTGCCTTACCTTTGAAGTGTTCATATTGCTTGAATGGGGTTCTCCCCCACTGCAAACCCTCTGATTTAATCTTCACTGCCCCCATTAAGAAACATCCGCTATTCATTAGGCTGGCTGACCTGCTGTTCTGATCCATAACAGAATTAAAACTAGTGGGAAAGTACAATTTAAGACATTGTTAGTTATATTTGGCTCCCCTTTAACTTTGTCAGTGTAAACAACATACGTTTAGGTTAATTATTGAATTCCCAGCTGGAGGATAAAAACATTGAAGCTCCAAACTTGCCATATTTTTCTCCTTCACTAATAATTTTGATTGACACGGGGAATAAAAGCAACTTCTTGTGACACAGGTCCAAAGGTTTTCACTTTATAGTTTTTTTAATGTTTATTTGTAATTTGAATAAATGTATTTATCCACTTTTAGAGCCAGAAAACGGACGCATGATGTGGAATCTGACTTTTCAGACAGGTGAGTGGCTTGTAACAGTCTGAAATATAAAATGTGTTTTTTACTCACTGTGTATTTTGGAGAGGTTGTGTAAGCAGGTTTAAGATGTTTGTGGTGATCCCAGCCTGAGGTTAGTAATCCATGATCTGGGTCAAAAATAGGAAGTGTCTGTGGTTTGGTCTTCTCCTTCCACAGTCTGACGCAGTAAGAAGTCATAATCATAGACAACTGGTAGTCACTCATTACATCTGAGCAATAATTTATTCCTCCACTAATAATTTGGTTGCACATTTCTGCAATTTCCTTAAAGATTATGGAGGTGTCTGGAAATATGTTGTGACGTTCTGTTCTGTTTTGAATGTAGGATTTGTTAAATGTAATTATTAGTTCGTTCACTCCCTGGGGTGTCTAATCACAAAAGAGAGCTGTATGAAGTTGTGACCTCATTAGACTAATATGTTCCCCTCTTTTTTATTTTTTTAAAAGCATAGAATATATTTTTTATTAATAAATACACCTGATTTGGACTTGCCGTTTTTTTCCGGTGCATGGTTAACATCTTGGCCGTCTCAGTCTCTCTCAATGGGGTGCTAAGGAAATGTGGGTAGCCCACCTTTGAGCCACTCGTCTTTTAACATCTCCCCGGCTGCACATACAGAACCAGTGCTGGAGGTGCAATGTTGAACCCCCTGCACCGGTGTCGTGAGAAAAAATCATGAGCTCCTGGAGAACAATTATCAAGAGGATAAAAAATGATCTAACTCTTTATCACTTATCATGTTTTTTTTAATCTTGGTATCTTTATAATACAACACATCTTGGATTGATTTTTGTTGAATTACATATTTTAAAAAGAGCACTGCATTCTTTCTCGCACTTTTGAAGGAAGTAATGTCTGGCTTTAAGCGTGGCTTAGCCTTACCCACTGCAGCCTGAGACGGGCGAAGAGTTGGAGTGTGTTAGGCCAAGAGTACCCTAGCAACACAAGCCAAGCTGGTCTTTGTTCAGCTGGCGACCGCGCTTTGATGTGAGGCTTATTGAGGACTGAAGCACATTCCTCTATTCAGGCATCAGGCCCGGGTTAAAAAGAAGAAAAACATTTAATTGGTTGTACTGTAAAATGGTCCATCGTGGTACGAAACAATGGTCGCGATTGTGGTCTGAAGTCTGAATTAACAGGAACTTTGAGTTTTCCTTCTCACCTGAAAAGGGAAAAGGCAAATTTCTCTGTGTTCTAGTTTCTACACAAGACATTTTTAAAAATAACCGGGGAACAACCTTAAATAAAGCCACGTTTTTATGGCTTCGTGGCATCTGCGCATGGAGATGTAAAAGAGTCAGATGTATTATTTTGGGTCTGAGGGATTTTAAACTTTTTTTGTTTAAAACACTCCCACCTATGATTGTTTAAAATCCTGTTTTAAAATCTAGATGTTCACCTAACTAAGATGAGGCTACTGGTGCCGCAGATCTGAGCAGTTAATGCAGTTTGTTAAAGATGAGAACTAGGAAATTAAATACAGTGATGGAGTGCAAACTGCACAAGAACAGAGAAGAGATGGGTCCAAGAGAAATAGTGCGAGTACACAGCCCTGTTGTAAGTCTGTTTCAGGGCATGTGCACATGCTATACAGTGCTGCTGTTGGGGGTTGAAGTGACCCAAAAAAAAAATCATCTCTAACAGCATTCCAAATATAATTTATATTTTATTGCCATCACCTTTTAGACATAGAAGGCTCAAAACACAGCCAGATTATATTTTACTCAGTGTAAATTAAGAGGAATAAAATCACAGTATTTATTCACCTACAGTATAAGGCTTGGTTTAATATGCTAAAATTGAACATATTTATAATGCATCTCAAAATTAATAAACATAATTGTATTAATGATGCCCTTGATTTTTACTTTGTTTCATATCTTTAACCCAAGGACTACTTGATTTTAGTTTTGGAAATCTTATTTTTTATATTGTGTAGCATTTATTCACTTATAAAAAGAAGCAGCATGTCAAGTAAAGAGCTTTGCTTTTCAACCCTTGCTCTGTTTGAAGTTTTTTCCCCTCACAGAACACTTCTGTTTTCCACAAGACATTCTATTTTCAGACCTTCTGCTGCACACTTCTTTAAACAAAGTAGCTCCCTACATTTGTCTGACCCCTGTTTTCAAATACATCTCTCCTGCTGTTGCAGTTTCAGGTATGTGTTCTATATAGCCAGCCTTTCAGAAGCAGGCAAGTACTGAGCCTCATGAAAAATTTAACGTCGGCCTGTTTTCCAGGGTTGCTTTTCCTGTTTCCTCCCTCCTTGACTTTCGTGTAAATAATTAAGAGTGATGCACTCTTTGCTTATGGACAGCCCTTGGCGTATTCTCTGCTTTTCAGCTCAGCTGCTGCTTTTCCATATTTCATGTGCTTCCCTTTCTCTCAGCAAGCATTTTCTCTCTCGTGCTCACACGGGCTAGAGACACAGAGGCCCCCTGCAGCCGATGAGCCAGTTGGCGCTTTGTGCTCAGAAGGAAGGGAGCGACTGTCAGATTTCCTTTATGCATTTCCCCTTCTTCACACTACCTGGGGTGACAGTAGATTTGCTGTTTTCAGAAAGGCAGGGACTCAAGACAAGGTGTCCTGTCTTTTAGTTTTCTTTTCATTTGAGTCCCTTATGGCCACTCGTGGAAGACTCATGTTAAGCTTTGTGTGTTTGGCAGTCCATGCAATGCTGCTTCCAAATTTCAATGCAAATAACAGGCTGCAAATATCAGCCTGACTTTTAAGTGCTTTTGTTAAGACCCCAACCCAAAATGTCAAAAGCATCTAAAACAAAGATATTGGTTTCATTTGATAATTTTCATATGTTTGTGGACTCTATAGCTGCATTATGCCAAAAGGGGGGAATACCTGTGTAGAATATGTAGTTAATATCTTAGGAGGATCGTGTTTTGTGCTTTTTGTGAGATTTACAATCCATTTAGTATAAGACAGGTTGATTGTCCATTTAGTGGTACAGTCTAGACTTTTAGACAAAGCTCACCCATTTGAGTATGTAGTTATCACTTTCTTTTCCAGTTTCTGCTATAACCTCTCTGTTTCTCTTTCTTCACTGTCTGCAATGACTGAAATGTTTTCCCCAAAGTTATTTCACACGACACCTTTCAAGAAAAGTTTCTTTCACCAAAAGATGTAGAAAAAATATTCAGATGCAAAAGAAAATACATCTTAAACATGCCTAAAAAGACAGCCATGGCAGATAAATGGTTGCAAAGCTAATAAACCTTTGCACACCCTGGTGCTTGGAAATTTCCATACATAAGGGTATGCAAATTAAAACCAGCTGTGCAATCCCAGAACCCACCCCGGTCTACTAACCAATCGCCAACCCCCAGAGTTAAAGCTCATTTTTCTTTAGAGAAAAGCCAAAATTCCAAAATGATTCAACATTTCACTACGTTGAAGAATGGTGCCAAGGTTTTGCTGTTACAGCTTTTTGCTGCTGTTGTTTCTATTTTTATTCCTCATGGCAGTTCTATACTATACGCTGAGCTGTATCTTCTTCAGCCTACGCTGCCTTGTATGCAGTCTCTGTTTTTGGCTTGCCCTCATTCATTAGTTCCAAGTTTTTCCAGCCTGGGAATCTGGAACTAATTCTTTCTGACAACTGGAAAGCTTTGCCTGTCACCTACCAACTAAGGCAGACCCTTTCTCCATCCATCTCTCTGAGGGGTGACCGCGGGTGCTGGTTATGTATATATGTATGTTTTTTTGCTGCTTGTAATAAATCATGGGTTGACCTGTTACATAACGTTTTCTACCAAGTCGTACTGAAAAGCTACTAAAACTACTATGCTGTGATTTCGGGAATAGTGGTTGTATCTTTTTTTAAAAAAAAGTTCATTCTTTTTTTTGTGCTTGTGTTGAGTGTACATGTAGGGTGCCTGTCAACTCAGACAGAGTTCTCATTAAATTATTTTGTGACCTTGCTCTGAAATCTCCTGATCAGCTCTTGTCACCGAGTTCCCAGCTTCTACGTGACGTAATGTCTATTTAGAGCAATTCTGCAACACTTTTCTGGCTAAACAGTGTATTTCATCCCGCATTTGAAAATCTTTTTGATCTGTATTTTTTCTGTGTTTCTAAATACAGGAGGTAGAATAATTCCATTTTATGCAGCTTAACTTTTTGTAGCAGGGTTTCTCACTGGAGACAATCTGAAGCACACAGTTAAATACTTTTGAGTATTGTGTGTGGGCATGACATGACATTCTGTAGTTCAGTTGTTTCATGGAGGGTGTAAGTACCGTTTTTAGTGCACCAATCTCAGGTTAAATATTCATGAACACTGATTAGAATAACTGTTATCCAGAGACGGCAAATTTTAATTAATATTGAAATGTGATCAATGAAGGTGACTGCGTGTACAAGTCAGTCCAGAGATTGTATTTTCTGAATCATTTTAAAATGCGATTAGTGTATATATGTAAGTATAAGTTTATGTATATGAACAGAAATATATATATATACTGGAGTTTTCTGTACTTTGCTGTTTCATTCCAAAGAGTTTTTTTAAAAAGTTTTCTTTAAGCTGCTTTTCTCGCCAGTTTTGTACATTTTTCATACCCGTTTTTTCTGCAGCACCATATACAGTGAGATTTCAATTAATTAGTTGCATCGCCAACTTTAATGCATTTAAAGGTTTCAGTCCTAAAGCTACAGCTGTTTTGAATAACTTGATTCAGTGAAATTGGTTGAGAGGTGCATCTTAAAACAATTTTTCTACATAGCATTATGGCAGCACAAAATTAGGTGGTGCTGACATCATTGAGAGATGTGCCACTCATCCAATCTGCGCTAACTCTCCTGTAAGGCACTGAGGGGCAACACGATTGTCAGGCTAAAAGAGGTCTCTGTGCCATACAAGAGACACTGTTCTGAGCCAAGAAACATTTGGCGATTCCAGACTCCAGGGGTGGGTTTAGAAAAAGTGAAAGCAACATTATCAGAATGTATTATTAGGAGGTTTAATGCCGATGGTGGTGCTTGTAGCTTTTAGTAATATTTAAAGATGAAAGATCCTTGTGGCTAACCTACAAGCCACCGTAGTTTTGCTGTTCACCAATACACATAAAGTATCCAAATAGCTGAAAACCAGATGACAATCGATTGAAGAGTGTTTTTTACTTGGCACTGCAAGTATGGGTACATGCCTGTGGTAACCCTGGATGCTGGATGTGAAAAGGTAAAGACTACAATAAAACAGGTTTCACCAATTTATCCCCCCCCCCCCACTCCTGTTCTATTCAGTAAACGACTAAGAAAGGGTGACAAGAATGGGAAAGGACTCCGGCATTTCTCCATGAAGGTGTGTGAGAAGGTGCAGAAGAAGGGCACGACATCTTACAACGAGGTGGCGGACGAGCTGGTGACAGAGTTCGCCGACTCCAGCAGTCTGATGGCTGCAGATTCTGTAAGCGGCTTTAGGCTTCAGCCTTTATCATTCTACAGAATGATAAATTCTGCATTCTACAGAATAATCAGATTAATTATCCACTGGGCATTACGTTTATTATGAAATTCTGGCCAGTTGTATGGGTTTCAAAGATGTTTTTACCACAGGACTCACCAAGTCCTGCTTGATTTTCTTGTGTAGGTCTCCTTAAAGGCACCAGCAGCTTTATATCTGTGCAGGAGGATTAAATTAGTCCAATTAAGGCTTAATTGAATTGGCTGTTTTTCTGAAATATTCTGCAGTTGGTTTAAGGACCCATGCTAAACTGGCTGGGGTGTTCTGTTGTATGTAGTTTAAACCACATCTCTGATCTGAAACGTGCATTTTTAGACAGCTTTTGTTGCAGTATTGTAAAAGTAAAAAAGTTATAAATGTTTTAAATCAAAATGATTATATATTCACTGTGTGTGAATTATTGTTCTTGTGAAAGAAAGGGTTAACTGATTCAGTTATTGAGTTCCCTACAAAATTCTGGAAAGCCCCCAACAAATACTTTCCAGTATTATTTCTGACAGGATGACTGAAATAGCTCGGTGGATAATTAATCTGATTATTCTCCACGGAATGTTTAAATTATAATTAAAAAAAGATTTACAATAGGTGGGATAATATGCTGTTTCTGAGCTTTGTAATTTATCTACAGTGGCTTTCAGGCAACTTGACATCTGCTAATGAGATCTACAGTAGATCTTTATGTGTGCATGCTTTTTTAATGACTACAGTTTCACCACTGCATAAGATTTGTAAAATTTTCATCCAGCATTCCTTAAAATTTGATAAAATATCCACTATCCAGTGGCTGAAGAAATATACACTGAATCTTGTTCAGAATTGCACAGATTAGGACAGCATTAGTGGCTTGAAATGCAGGATGTTTTGGGATTTGTAAATTTTTGTTGATACAGGAAATAAACTGGGGAGTTAATAAGTTTTGAAATACAATAAGCATCTCTATGTTTCCTACTGATTGGTTATCATAGTTGAAATGAATGGCTTGAGAAATTGTATTTTCCTTATATGAATTAATGCATGCTAGTTGAATTAATGCGCTTCGCTCTGGTTTTTCCAGCAGGTGTACGATCAGAAGAATATTAGACGCCGGGTCTACGACGCCCTGAATGTTCTGATGGCGATGAACATCATCTCAAAAGAAAAGAAGGAAATCAAGTGGATTGGGCTTCCAACCAATTCCGCTCAGGAATGTCAGAATCTGGAGGTGAGGCTTACTGACCTCAAAATCATTTGCTAGTTCAAAAGGCCTACCTGTAACGTAACCTAACGTTACGTATATATTCATCTCACAAGATCAGTTTTAAAATTGAAAGATGTTACAGCATATTGAGAACATTTGCATTTCTAGCTTGTAGTGTGTTGCTAGGCAGACATTCGACTGAGGGGAAAAAAACGTCCATGTCCATAAATTATCCTCACAATCTCTGAACCAGTTTTGACAGTTTTCCATGAGAAATATTTTAGCAGTATGTTACAATTATAGTATGCTATTTAGAATTAAGTATTTAGGACAGATATACTCAATCAAACTGGATTTGATGTAGGGACATTCATATGTAATACGATTTTTTGTATGTCTTGATACAGAATCTTAGCTTGCATCCTTCTGTAAAAAATGCCATTTAGACCTTGGTATGTGGTGGCATCTGGATTTGTGTGGAACATCCTTCTTCCTGACTAGCAGGGTGATCTTAAGTACATCTGGCACAGCTTCACATCTGCAGTCCAGCTCCCCAGAGCAAGAACCACGTTCCTCACGAGCTCTCTGTCGTCTTGAGAGAGCAGGCTGCTCCGCTGGGGAGATTAGCTCTGCAGATCGACTGCCTCACACCTTCAAATAGTCACTTTGATCCTTCAGAAAGACGGCATTTTTTTTAATCCTTGGGATGAACTGATTAAACTCTGCTGAAATGCTGCTTTCTAGCTAACCAATTCTTACAAACAATTGGCTTCGTACATTATGTGTTTGTAACTACATGCATGTCAATGGTTTCTGATGTTTTTCAGCTGGAGAAACAGAAAAGGATAGAACGGATAAAGCAGAAGAGAGCCCAGCTGCAGGAGTTGATTTTGCAGGTACCTTTTAACACAAAGCATGAAGCTTAAGCACTTCAGCTGGGAGATTCAGAAGGCTGCTGAATGGAACAGGCTGCTGATTACCATATGAACAGTTAAACTTTTAACCCCAACTGGGACAGTGCATCTTAAATCCCACCAGCCTGTGAGAAAGTACTCTCAAATTCAGGGACCTTCTCACACTCTTCATTTCTCAATGAAACTTTCTTTCCCAGAGACGCACATACATAATATAGGAAAGACCATTACAGTAAACAAAAAAAAGTTTTTTTTTCAATGTAGCTCCTTTGGCTCGTCTTTTTAAATGTAATCCATTTGCATTTGATATTGAAACGGTGAGCATAGGCTTGTTGAGATCATGTAAAGTAACATGCAATATGCCTATGCAGCATTGCCAAGAGATGAGATTTACTTATTTCAGTGGACTTCTTCAAATTCAATTTCATCTCATGAAGCTGCAAGCCGCTTCTAACCCACGGTCAGATAGGCAGAGTGGCTTGCTAAGGAGCACAGTTATCTTAGAGAAGGCCAGTATCATTCTGCTGAACAGGTCAGGATCCAGGAATCAAAACGCATAAACCAAATCTAAAATGTAAAGCGTATGCATAATAAGGGTGCTGCCCCAAAAGGACTAAAAAATGCTCAGGGTGTGAAAGAAGTAGACTGCTCTGAACACCCCATGCTCACTGTTGCTCACCTCCCAGCTGTCTCGGTCTTACTCTTGTGCAGCAAATAGCTTTTAAAAACCTGGTGCAGCGGAATCAGCGGGCAGAGGAGCAGAGCCAGTGTCCTCCCCCAACCAACTCCATCATCCAGCTGCCCTTCATCATCCTCAACACCAGTGTGCGCACAGTCATAGACTGCAGCATCTCCAGTGACAAGTGAGAATACGCCACTTGTTACAGTTCCTTCTTGACACACACACAAAAATTCCATCACCCAGCTTTATAATGCACATAACTTGTGTATAATTTATACGTTTAAGTAAAGATTATGTAAGTGCATAAATGTTGCATGTATTTCTTGGCTTTGTGGAGGTTAAGAAATAATTCATGCAGATGCTTAAAGGGATGCAAATAGACCTTAATTTCTATACATACATAAGACATAAAAGCATCTTTCTGGTATCAGGATGTTGTTTTCTCCTCCAGTTCGTCATTGCTCTTTTTAAGTCCGGTGGAGAACAAGAGTCTCCATTCCTTAATGTGTCTTCAATATGGCCCTATAGGTGTGAATACCTCTTCAACTTTGATAACACCTTCGAGATCCACGATGACATTGAAGTGCTCAAACGGATGGGAATGTCTTTGGGCCTGGAGAGTGGGAAATGCACCCCAGAGAACATAAAACTGGCAAAGTCCTTGGTGCCAAAGCCTTTGGAAAGTTACGTTACAGGTAGGCCTTTAGAACTAACAAATGATTTTGAATCAGCCTCTAACCAAAATGTCGTGTTTAAATTGAACTTTTCTAAAGCTGATTCCTGTAAAGTCTCAATTTCACAGCATCCTTAACCCTCTGTTTAAAGGGTTTTCTCTGTTTAAAGAACAGGAGACTTTCTCCAGTTGGCTGACGACTTTATGGCCTGCTGGGAAACAGTTTAAGAACTGCCCTTCTGCTTTTGGGTGTTACAAAGGCATGAAGTGTCACCTGGCCTCATAAATCAGCCTCAGATCTCCCTTGGACCAGCTCCTGAATATCACTGATGGGGACTAGTAGTATGCAGAGGCGTTTCTTGTGGTTGCCATGGTCACCATTAGCAACACGTACTTAATTAACATTCAAGTTAAGCCCTTTTGGGTTTTTCTCCACTCACACAGTGTTGATTGTATTTATCGCTTACAGTGAGTTACTGTACTTGCCTTTTATTTGGCGGTTCCTGAAAATCCGCTTTTAAATCCCCTGCTAGAAAACAGGCCCATTAAAAGAGGCAGCAGTATTTTGAGGCCAGTAGTAGGGAGGTGACAATTAGGGAACGTTTCTGCATTGTAGAAATATCTACAGTGGGGAATTGTTCTTACTATTGTAGTTTTATTGCAAGATTACTTTCAAGATGAGGTTATTTATTCCAGAAACAGCCCACTGTTTTCTAGCTTCCCGCCCCATCTAGCATCTAATTCAAAACAAAGTTTTGCATATCACAATTCAGAGGCAAAGGTCTGTGGGACAGCTGAACCTTGTGCTGAAAGAGGGTCTTAAGCATTGGAGGTTTACAGAGGCACTACAGGAGGTGCTGTTCGGAGAGTGAGAGCCTGGATGTGGGCCAGCGTCCCTGTAGGGGTCAATTTCAGGAGAGCCAGAGGGAGTCTGATTGAAATGGAACCAGAAGGTGGATTTCAGTTTCATCACTGTTAACCCTGCCGTTCTCAGCATAGAAGCCCTGGGTTTGTTCAGAAAAATGCCAGGCATCAATTAGTCAAGTAGGGAGCTGCGTCAGCATGCGTAGGCTGCAAAGAAACAAGTAGAGGTTTATTCCATGCTGAAAAGAGAAGAAAAGAAAAAGTGTTTCAGCTGTGGAGCCTTCTTCGGGTGTCAGACAATAAATTATTTTAAAGCATCTTTATTACCATACAATTTTGTTTGCCAAGAGAATGTTTACACCTTATCTTTTTTTCATGCAGATAGAATAAGTGATAAAAGCAGTAAACAGTTAAGGAGGGAGAGCTGCCTAGTACAGGACATGAGAAGACATGAAAAGTTATAGCGAAAGCCTATATTTTTTATCATTATGCATATTGCCATAACAAACTGAAAAGATTACATTTAAAGGGAACAGAAACCACTGTGAAATGACCAGACTACCCTTTTTTTACCAGATTGTATACTGAGACAAATACATTAAACTTTTTTTTTTTAGTGCACATCATTTAGTTACTTAATAGGCTCATAATCCTTTGTAAAGTCCACCTGGATCTCACCCTCAAAATGGGGAGGTTGACGTATAGATGAGGTCAATTTGTATTCGACAGGCTGCCAAGAATTAGCAGCGTTTCAACTGAAGGGTTCAGTTAGTTTTGACTGTGTTAGTTTGTGGCATTTCAGGCCTTATAAGGTCATTCAAAACAGCACACCAGGGTGGTATTTCACCTTCCAACACTCAGGATTTAAGGCAAAAAGCTCAGCTGTATCCTGTATAACCCAGATCTGCTCTTTCCAACAGCCATGGGTAAGGGCCCTTCCTGGCTAGACCAGGATCATTGCACCAGCAGCACTGATCAGCCTCACCCCCCTCTGGATACCACAAGCAATATGTCCTTAGCTCATATAGGGTGAGTCTTCAAACAGTTTTTGAATAATCCCGTTGAAGCACAAACACTGTTTGACTTTTACGGTTTTCTGATTAATTCAAAATGAAAATATTTTTTTTTTATTTGCTATGAATTGTACTTCTGTACATAAACTCATTTTTTGTAAACTTTTATAGTATGTGGTTCAGTGTTGGCATCAGTACTTATTATGTAATTTCGCGTTAATTGCTTTTTTTTTGCCTGTTTCATATCCGAACGAAGACTACAGAACACATAGCGAAAGTCCAGCCATAAAGACAGGTTGAAGGAAATTTTCAGTTTCAGTAAAGGAATGCTGAGGGGAGATTCGATCACGTTAAAGGGATGAAATAAGGGCGACCCCCAACAGTTATTTCAAATTAAGTTCAGGGAGCTAAACAAGAAGACATAACTGGTGATAACATACTGTATAGTAAGAGCGGTTTGCACTGATACTCGCAAGAGTTTTACAGAAGAGTTATCGTCTTATGGAATAAATTAGGAACACGTTGTGGAGCCAGAGATGCTGGGATCTTTTAAAAGCAAGTGTGAGTAAAAGTGATAAGTCTCTCGACATCGAGAAGAGTAACAAGCCGTGGTGACCCCAGTGGCCTGTGCTCGGCTTCAGTGTTTCGTATGATTTGGAACACCTGCTATCTATAACTCAGTGTTGAGCGAAGCGCAGTGGAGTGGAGCGAATTTCTAAAAGTGTTCTCTCTGTGACTCTGGCGTTTCTTGGCCTCGCAGCTCTTACCCAGCGCTGTGCGTGGACACAGAAGTGGCCTTGACCACCGCCCACTGCCTGAGCCGCCGCAGTCGCCGGTGCAGCAGCGCCACCGCCTCGCACTGCTCGGAGTCGCGCGGGGAGACGCCCTGCTCCTTCAACGAGGAGGAAGAAGAGAACGACGCTTCCTCCCCGGAATGAGGAGCTCGCCGCGCTCCGGGACACAAGACTTTGTTCCGTTTTCCCCTGGTTTCTGTAGTTTGGGTTTCCCTCTCGTGCCATGTCCATACTTTTTTCTGCAGAATGCGAATGCATACCACGTGATGTGTGAGGAAAGATAAGAAATGCCAATCTCCACCTGATCAAATAGGAGAATAGAAAAGGGGGAGAAAATAGCGGTAGATGGGGCGATCTCAACAGGGAATAATTCCACATAGCTACAAGACCGTATCATAAATCAATCTTCTAAAATCAATCCACACTGCTTTTGAATGAAACAGTATTTTTTTTTTCTTAAGGAATCTGCATTATGTCACAAGTAAATTCTGTTCCGTAATATTCAGTTATATTTTTATGCTGATTAATGCTGATCTTACTTTTTAACATTGTCCATTTCTTTGATCACTGTACATCCTAGGTAACACATTTTCAGAAACTGCTAAGCTGTAGAAAAGCTTTGAAGAGAGCTCTTTCTTCCCTGAACATATCGTCTTCAGTGGCAGTTAACAGACTCCATTTTTCTTTCTGCGTCTTTTACAGTATTTCTGCGGGTTAATACATTAATATATCTTGCTGGTGCTGGGGTATGACCCTGTAATTATTCAGCCAAGAGAGAAACATCATTTCAGTGTCAGGGCGGTTCTGACAGCTGTGCTCACAAACACATCCTTTTATTGGCCTTTAACTTCTTTTATGGTGATAAAGGATTTGAGTCTTCTGAGGATTTTTCATATATATATTTCCTATTTTACCACAACCCTTTTTGTTTCTAAAAAAATATATTTCAGCATAAATACATGAATTCACACTTTCAGGAATAAAAAAGGTGTTAGTTTCCTCATTTTTGTATATGCCGTTTATATATATGTGTGTATATGTGTGTATATATATTTGGGTTCAAGCTGTTTTTGTATTTAGCGTTACTGCTGTATGCAGTGCTCCTCAATACAGTTTTATAAATGAAGATTCATGTCTTAACAACTTTAGGTGGAGGAATATCTGAGCTATGATAATCTTATAATAATGTGGCCCAGTCTTTTCTCATTTAACCTAAATGGGTTGTTTTAACTTAACTGTGGAGAACTGTTCAAAAGACTAATTTGAAGTGTTTTTCATGTCATTTATGGATGTTCAATGGCATGCGGCACTCTGTCCACAAGGCAGGAAATAAGACTTCCGAGGATTGATCAAGAATTTGTAACTGCGGTCTAGCTCCTCACTGACCAGTCGTGGTTTTAATTTTCCATTGTGAAAAGAAAAGTCAGGCTGTTCTTGTCTTGGCTTGAATCTAATCTTGTCTTTCACCTGTTTCTCTTTCATGTACATTACAAGACTGTAGCTTCAGTAGAAAAGAAAACATCATTGTCTTGAAATGCTTTGTAAATAGTACCCCACTGTTTTTTTTTTTTGGCACATTTTTTTTAGCATTTTTTTCTATATAAGGACATGTACTATACTGAAATACAAAGGTTTTTTTTCATTGCTCTGCGAGAGTTAGGCCTCTGGTGGATACCATCTCAGGCCAGACAAGGGCTTTCTTCCTCATCATTATCCACCTTGGTGGCCTTGACATAGTTCCTTTCTGTGTGCATCCTGCTTTCACAGTGGGGTCACCAGAAAATAGAAATCCAGATTGTACAAAGCAAATAAAGGTACAGTCAAAAAACGGAACTGTGGTGAGTTGTTGTGCTCTGTGCTGCAGAGAACTCTTTACGAACATGATATGTTGCAGCTCTTCTGAAACTGGTCTACGGCCTTGACAAGTAATTCGGCCCTGGCATGTGTTGAGATTTACCCACACCTGCCATTCCGCGTTCGTCTGGCACTCCCTCACTCTCCGAATTTCAGAAATGCCCGTGGATGAAAACTACTTTGAATGCCGGCTCGCCCACAGGGCACTGTGGAAGCAGCATTGCATATTTGAATATGTATAAGACGTTTTCAAAACCACCAACCCCAGAAGAATTAAGTCAGAAAGTACAGTGCTGTATTTGGTGGAATGAACGATAGGAAATGAAGCATCAACTAAGCTTTCTTGGAAGCTGGAAATGTCAGATTCTGTCACCAGATAGTCACCTTTTCCTATTGCACTGTAATGTTCTCAAAGAAAACATTGTCTTTGTGAAGGTTTTTGGTTGTCTGTTGAGTAAAATCTATTGGTTCTTCACTAGATCAGCAGTTGTCATTAAACCTAAAAAAATTCCTTCTGAAAATAGCAATTTCCAGAAAGACTTTTTACGTCGTATAAAAACACAGCCGTGTCTTCAGAAACCTCAGAAATTTTGACTTGTCAGAATTAGGGCACACAGCTTACATTAGTAACAAGTGATCTGTACAATAAGGGCGAAATTGTGTTCTTGAGCATTATGTTTTTATGCAGTCCAGCGTATCGATAACTGAAATGTCAGTTCATTCATAGATCAGTTATAATATAACACGTATTGTTGTTTTTTATTGTCGCTTAATATGACAGGGATCACTTAACTCGAGTTAGATTTATTATTCTTCACTATCTGTATTATACATTAGCATTAAATACATACGCAGTTGCATAGTCATTTCATGTTAACACTTAAAGTAATGTTTAACAAATAAGTGAATGTAAAAACTGCAAAATGGCAGTCTTCCTTTAGCACAAGTTATTTTAATATTTGGTAGAATGGCTAAATCTTTGACCCACACATGCCACCTCATCTGATGAAAGTGTGCAGGAAGTTTAAGGTAACTGGGGTTTCTTTTTTTCTTTTAATATTCTTTTAATTCTGTTGTCCTCTTATAAATCATTTGTTGAGCGTTGAGAGTAATAAGGCATCTGAAATAAATGTGCAATTGAGTATTTAATTTATGTAATGCAGCATAATGTATTATACTGTGATACCTTGCATACTTAAAATACCCATTTACATTGGACATAAGGTCAGTAGCTTCTAAGTGTAGCTTGTAACGCATAAGGTAAGTAATGCATTAAATAATAAGGGGAGGAAATTGCCAAATTACATCTGAGGAGAAATGACAGTGGCAAATGGAAAAAAATAAAAGATAGCTGATCATAAATAATATAGTACAATCTCAAGATCTCAAGATTGTAGCAGAATTAATCTAGATTCCTATGAGTGCCTATTACAGTTAAACATATCATTGACTTCTGAGATGAGTACAGTAAATAGAACAATACAAATGATTACAGGGGGGAAGGGAAAAGTCTGAAAAACTTTAAAGACTGCTTAAATCAGAGGAATTCTGACTGGTCTCAAGAGATACCCGAGCATGTAAAGCTGCTTAAATGAGAGTAGAACTTGAAGGGATTAGATAGCTACGCAAAAAGATGTCATGAAGCTAAAATGTACTCGAAAGTCACACCATGAAAGGTGAATCACTCGTAGAGAAGGTGATCTTTGCGGTTCACTACATCAACAAGATTTTGACATGAACGGATTTCTTATCGAAGTATGAACGACACTTATCGACACATACACCCTTGCATTTTTGTCAAAAACTCAAAATGTTAAAGCTATTTAGCAGAATTTGAGACCTACCCATCCCAGTGGCAGTTGTCATGTTCAAGGGAGTAGGTGTGTGTGTGTGTGCATGTCCCTTGCTCTTTGTTTTGCTTGGGGTATTCTGACCACTAACCTAAATTTGAACAATAAACTCATTTCACTTAAGAGCTGAGCCAACTGAAGCCCACATCTCTGGAGGTAAAGAAAAAAATGTTAAACTCCTTCCCTGCTCAGCACATACTAGGGTCCACCACCTCAACAGAAGGTTTATTTTCTCACTCTGAGACAGAATTCTATTGTTCTTTGTTCAAGAATGATCATGTGTTCAGCCTCTGATTTAATTAGTATACAGGCATTTAGGCCCATTCTGTCTGCTTTGTACTGCAGTTTGTGTTGACACCAAATAACCCAGACTGTAATAACAGTGGGCAGCCCTGTGTTTGAATATAAAACATTTTGCGGGTAGGCTAAATCTTCAGAATATTATCAAGTCAGCATGATGAATTATTCAAAGTCTATAACTTGTATTACACAGCCTCTGGTACTGTAATGTCCTGTTACATATCTCAAAAGTGATCGGTTATATTTTAATCAACATATAGGACTAATATTGCATATTAATATCATGTTATCAGACAACTGTTGTCTCACTTTTTTTCTACATGACTCATTAATTGGCAGTAGCAAAACTAATAATTCCAATAGGCACACAAAATTCCATTAGGTCTTCAATACTGGATATCATGTATTGTAGCAATAGCAATCTGCTCTAATTTACTTTGCATTCTGTAAAGAGTCATGAGCCTAATCAGCACTGTTGGCATAATGAAAATGAATGGATGAATTGGAGAAACATTATCTGATTTCTAGGCTTAGATCGATCAAGATTGGGAGGGTGAGCCCTCGGTGGCACATTCTTTCTCCTTTAATGAATTTGCTCAATAGAGGCAGTTTCTGTCTCCAGGCATACACTCCTTAGCAACAATGCATCTTACATGTATTCTTAGTCTTACCCTATAATTAAAAATAATTGTAACCATTTGGTTTTCTATTATAAATGCAAGAGTTCCAAACAGTCAGATCACCAATAATATGGTACAGGAAAAGTGGGTCCTCCAACCTCTTCGTCTTTTGAGAGTCTTAAAATAATGTTTACAACATGGACGAAAACATTTGTTTAAAATCACCTTTATTTCAAGATTCTCTTGGTCTCTTCCATACAGGTCTTAAGGAATCTGCATCAATCATGATTTTTGCAGAGGTTAAAAAAAATCACTTTAAAAGTCTGGCCGGCTTCAGTTTGAATATTGTATCTTTTTTGTGTCTTTTGATTCCTTAAAATGGTCTGGCATGGTGTGACATGACCTTTAAACCAGTGTTTAATCCATTAAATATGTACATAGAAACAGCACAAAAAAGCAACACTCACAGGGGATAAAATCCACATCACAATAAGGAAAAAAGACCACATTAATTAAATGCTTGAAATACAGCTATTTACAGGTCCCTAGTATGGCACGATGTCTTAATCTGTTCATGTTCTGTTCAGACTGCAGGAGTAAAGAGGTCAGAGGGCTTGAAGGGGTGGGGTAGGGTGGGGATCTTGACAGAGGCAGGCAGGGGCAAAGTGGGCAGCGACACATTAGGGGTTTAAAACTAAGATCTGGAAGCACACCATCATGCTACCATGAATGCCACCTAGCTCCAACCCCCTTGTACAAAGTGGTCTTGTGTCCCAAAATGGCAGGTCCAGCTGATTCAAATTAAGTGACAACACAAAGTTGGCATCGTGCGCGCCTCCTGCACCCGCTATTCGGTGACCTTCACCCTGAAGGTCACCCGGCCCAGGAATTTGTCACGTTCGTCGTCATTCCTCAGGTCTGAGCCCTCAATCTTGCACTCCACGGACAGTTCTTTATTGTAGTCGCTGCCTGTCAGGTTGAGTTTCACAGCCACCAGAGGCTGCACATAGTTTTCCTAAGGGAAAAAAACCCACAAAAATGATTCGCTCATTTAGTTTTTGGAAATACGTCACTGAAATGGACTGGTGCTCTTCATTTAACCTGGGTGCAATTCAAAATAAGTTTTTTTTCCTATTTAATTGTCGAGTGCGGCAATGTCATATCAATGCTGCACAATAAAGATCATTTTTCACTTACAGAAAAAGAATCCCTGCATGGGTACTTACATGAGCTTTCTTTCCATAATAAGGAAAGTACATTAAGTCAAATTTCCCTTCAACAGGAAAATAGTTCATTTGAAGACTGTTTTCTTTCTGCATTGAAGTAAACAAAAAAAACAATTAGTTTGCAGCACTGGTTATATTTATAAGTAGATCAGACACATCAGGAATCCTAATTTGAAGATTAATGATTGCTGTCATAGAACAAATATAGAATTATTTATACAAATCACTTTGCCTGTTGAGTGTATTAATTTACAGTGGTTAACTATATTATGTAATCTGCTCACAGAGATTCATAGCAGAAAAATCTAGGAGAAACATTTAATCAGATTTTGTTGAAATCAGGAATGTAGAGAACTAAAGCCCTACATTTTTCTCTGAGTTCTTAATCCCAATTTAAATGCTTTGACGTTAACCAAAATAAGACAATTCCTTTGAAGAACTAGTAGTGTTTGTCTCTCATTTTCATAGAATGGACAAGCAATCTGCCAAAACATTGTTTTAATTTAGACCATTATAGAGATACACCTAACACGTACTAGATGGTGGTGGTGGAAGGGAGTCCCCATTACCTGTAAAGCGCTTTGAGTGGAGTGTCCAGAAAAGCGCGATATAACTGTAAGCAATTGTTATTATTATTAGATACACAAGACTATAAACTCGCTGAAGATCAACTGTGTCTATTTGGCAACTGACAAAGTAAAGGACAATGTTACTTCTGAATGATAATTTTGAATTGGATTTGATCTTTTGACATCTTAAGAGCATCGGAATGCAGATGATGCTTCTGTATTATATTTAACAGTCATCTTAATGTAATTTCATATACATTATCACAATGAGCCACGCAGTTATAACGTGGAAATATAACCCAAGCCACCATTCACGAGGCATTTCCATTTGTAAACATGAACTCAAGCTCCTGTCACGAGTTGTATTATGCTGGTTATACATCAGGAAAAATACAGAACTGATGCAAAGTGACATATTTATTTACTCCACTTTGGCTCAGCTGCCAGTTAAGCCAAGATGAAGTAACACAGTAAAAGGCACGTCAAAGAGCAAACAGAAACTCCACTGATCCCCCCTTAAAGAAGTCAAAGGACTTGTTTGTTTTTTATTTATATTCCTACATTCCTTCCACTTGTTTCTTAAATATGCTGGCCCCATGGCAGTAGGAGACGCTTCAGCTCAGCTGTGGGGAATAATGCAGACGAAAGCTGTACGACAGGTAGCTGTCAGAGAACAGCCGCTGGTTAGAGGCGCCAGATCCTACGGAAGAGAATCGTCACCCTCCCTACACTTTTGGAGCCGAGATTTCCGCACGCCCTGTCCTCACCATTGCCATGGCTGTCTATGCAAGAAACCCACTTGGAGCCAGCATGGAAATTCGAGGCTTGAAATGTAGGTCAGCATGGAGAGCAGAGTACAAAGCTAACCCTGTAGAGAGCAGCAGCCATTTCCATACAAAAGTGCAGTTAGAAAAAGAAACTGATGTTGATGAGTCATCCTGTTATGAACTAAATCCCCCTAGCTTTCCAGGACTGATCTCCTGTAGAAAAGACGATTCTTAATTAACTAGGCAGTATTCTTCTCCTCTAAATTAACAATGGGTTTTGGAATGAGCACAAAAGGCAAGACAACTAAGACGAAAGAAAAAAAAAATCTCTAAACACAGAGACTGCAAACAAATGCAGTTTTAGATTTTTTTTTCTGAAGAAAATGGACGAAACAGCAAGGGACATTTATTGTATACCTTCAAAATCATTGCAATTCGCAATGTGCCACAGACTTAAAAATCTATTACTAACACAAAATCTTCCCATGAAATGAATCTCTTGTATGAACATCACCTTGGAATTACACCTTGCACAACAGGAACTAATTTGTTTACTGAATTTCCCTTCAGTTCAACACCATCAGCTGGGCAACTGTATAAGTCATATAGCACAAAATATACAAAGTTGCAATTAGAAAGCTAATTAATTCATAAGAGGAGACCTTCATCACCACTGAAGTGCAGCACCCATGTGGGTGATGTTCGGCTGCCGTTATGCGCCAGCAGCCCCACTATGCAGCAGATCTGGTGAAGAAGAGAGAAATTGCCTCATCAATTAATTAAAGGTGCACTTTAGGGTGGCACGATTGTATAAGCCTACTCTTATGAACAGTGCCATGAGCTCTATAATAGCTCAGATGTTGGTTTTATGTCTTATTGAAAGGACAGCACAGGGTCTCTGGTCTCCATACTGGGACATTGGTTTAAAAATTCTGTTCTACAGGGAAGATCGCCACCTACTGGTCTCCCAACACCAATTACAGCAGCACAATGGCTCTCCTTAGAGGTCTCCCTTCCCATAACTGGCCAGGCCCAGCACTGCTATATATACACATATGATAGATATATTCTGAAATCAGCTAAGGTCAGGCTACAAGATGGTAACACCTCTGTCAATCGACTCCTCAAATTAAATTACCTAATCCAATTGCCATAATCAAATGACATGATAACCAAAAAAAACTCATCTCAATTTGCTTTGGTTTTGAAGGTATACAATATATAAAGTATGAATGCTTGTTTAAAGCTTAAACAAAAATGCACTGCATTACACAGGGACTACGAAAGCACTGCGGAGATTGCATAGCTGGAGGAAAGTCTTTAAGGAAATCCCAGGAAAATCCAGGGGAACACATGGCACTTGCCTCATACCCACCAGTCTTACTACTGGCTAAGGCTCTATTTGCAGCGTGAAGAGAAATAAAACAACAAACACATGAAAACACACAAGACGAAAAGTAGTGTGACAAGAAATTAGAACACAAAACAATTACCTTCTAATATAAAAAAACAACATTTAAATCCATTTGAAACTTTTTTTCAAAATCTCCACATGTTGTACAGTGCATTTGCTTTGCATTAGCACGCATAAAAAAAAGAGCAGGTTAAGTGTTTTTGTATGGTGAGGTTTAGCTGTCTAGTGATTCACATTTCTCTGAATATAAAGAGTTCTAACCCTGTGATTAGCAAAGCCCATACCTGATAAAGAGCGAATTCATTGGAGTCCCAGTGAAAGATTGAGTTATCTCCCAGTTTCCAATAGGAAAAGCGATAAATGAGCCACACACATTCCATTGGGTTCATATCTGGCTATTGCCCAGCCCACACTCATGGACTGACACTATCTTCCATCTGATTGACTGAAATCCAATTACAGTACCAGCAGCTTGTGCAAAGTAATGCAATGATACTCTAAATGGATTTTGCCATATTTTCTCAACAGTTCTATGATGTGTAATTTACTCAGACCACGTAATCTATTTGCTCAGGAGACAGCATATCATTTTATAATCTGTTGAAAACAAAACTGTAATGTAAAATGACTGTACATATGATATATCCAATAATTCACAATACCTTGTTCCCTGGGATTGTTTATTTACTCAAATCAATCAGGAAATAACAATCATATTTGGATATACATAAAGGTCTGCCTGGTTAGAGATTAATCATAGGCATTCGGATTGCAAAAAATGACAGTAACTTCTTTTCACATTAAATGAATACAGTGGTGCTGGTGCAGTAAAACTGTCAGCTGCTATTTTCTCTTAAGTCAAACTGATCACAAAAAACAGTCCTCAGCCTCACATATGGATTACAGATCTTGAAGATACTAAATATAAAAAACATAAACCATTTTTATTGTTATATGATTTTAAAGAACATAATGTTGATCATTTCAAATGATGGGCACATTAATATTCATATCAGCAGTTCTTTTTTACGGGTTACAAGATTGCATAGTAAGATACCGATTTCACTTAATGTTTAAACAATTTTTGTTTCAAAGTCTGTAGACAATGTTTTACAAAACTTTAATCTAAAGAGGAATACAGTCAGCTGGTGCTTATCTTAAGCTCCTTTGCTTAGGTATAAGTGAAAAAAGAAACTTGTGTACATTTATGGATGTACACAAGTTCCATATTAATGCCTATTCTGCAATTTCTTAGAATACAGTTCCAAATATTCACACGTTACTGTGCAGGAAGCCATAAATGCCTTCTTGATTAAAAAAAAATCCACGGCAAGATTTCTCAAAGTCACTTACCTTAGCAGTGCAATTTATGAAAGGACTCCCTCGTGGCTTAAGTCCAATAATCTGAAAAAGAAATTAAATCATCAATCCATCATGTTTGTGCTTTTTGTTAGTTTAAAATTAATCAGGTGCCTTCGTGGGGCTCAGCTGGTAACGGCGCTTGTATTTGGTTAAGCTTTGTGGTCAAGGGTACGAATCTGGGTCGCGTCACTGGCCAGCTGTGACCAGGACTCCCCAAACAGTAGCTCACTACATACTAGGTGCCGCCAAAGGAAGGGTTGTGATTTGTGAGTCAGGACTTTCTTGGCACTTAGCAATACAGTGCCCCCTGGGGCCTCTCAGATGCTGGCGATACAGCACGTAAGGGCCAGGCCTCTCCTTCAGGCAGGACTCAACCTCCAGTACATACAGTATCAACAGACGAGTGACTGGGAAGTGGGCAGGTCGGCACCGTCTCCCTCCACTCCCTCATTCTCCCTCTGTGTGTGGCTGCAGGCTGCAGAGTTCACAGCCACGAACCGAGCCAAAAACCACCCAACGGTAGCAAAAAGTCATTGGTGAATCCAAACTTTAAAAAACATCAGGCCCCACGAACGTTTCTCGAATACTCGTAGTAAAGTGGTTTCTGGAAAGGACAAGTCTGTTCACCATGTTCATAAATGCATAAAGGTGTGTTTAAATACAGATCAGTATGCTCCTCGCTACTGACGGCTTGAAGTCCTTCTGAAAATCTCATCTGAGTTTCTTTAACTCAGAGCGATTCTCTTTTTCAGCTCCTAACAAACATCTGACAAACATCCCTGGGTTTCTTCTTTTACTTTTTAACATGTTCTCATATTGATCATTACGATGCCCATGAACGTAATGATAATGCTGGTGAACAGGTTTTCCTTTTAACCAACTTCATTTCAGTAAGTGAACGGATTTATTCTTTAGCCACTACTAGAAGACGCCTTTAAAACCGCAGCGCAGAGCAGTGTCATAGACTCACGGCTG